AAGGGGAGAGACTAAGAGAAAGATCAGGCACAATATCCCTGAGTCTGTATCTTTTCGAAGGTGCTAAAAGCAAAAAAACACATGAAATGATTTGACTATTTATTATTATTGTTGGAATTATGCACAAATCCACGTGTATGTATCAAAAAAAAAAAAAAAGATTTCGCGGGGCATTTAGTTCAATATTAGTCATAGTGGACGGACGGTGAATGCTATGCTCACCTGTCAAGTCAAACATCTTCTTGGTATTATCGAGCACCGAGCGTTTTGGATTTACAAAATTTTGATCAATTTTGTTGTTGGGATTGGGATTATTCGACACCGCTATGTTTGGGTGAAGTGTCTTTCTTAGTTTCCTGGCTCTTGAGGGATTTGAAAAATGCCTTTTTTTCCTAGTAAATTTGTACTTATTTATATCCTTCACTCGTGGTTTATGCAATATATTTGATGGGATTCTTATGTTTGGTTTGCTTTCTTTGGAACCATGAGTCGAAAATGATGTCAAAAACATTTTTTGATTGTCATTAATGATCAAATCTTCATTTCCTCTACGTCCAACATCGGTTTCAATATTTGATTGTGAACTTAATGACTCATTGATTTCTATGCTGCCATTATTATGCGCATTAATCCCTAGTAATCGTTTTCCATTGTTATTTTGATCAGAGCCTTGAGATGGTATATGGAATGGTTAGTTGAAATTATCAATGTATATGTAGATATAAACATAAAAAAAATGAAAAAGTATACATGTTCCTTCCAACGGATTATTTAAAAGTGACATTGGTTCCTTCTCTTGTGGATTATTAAACGTCAGAAAATTAACTGTATTAGCATTACCATTATCGATCAATGTCTTTGAAAGCAAATCATCTGCATTCCCTTTAGTTAAGTCCATTGCAGTGTCAATCCTTAAAGAATTACGCGCCTCAATAAACAAATCTTCGGATACTGCGTTCAGGAATTTTCCACCAGCAGTGGCAAACCCTGTAGGTTTCTCCAATGCATTTAATGAATCTTCATCAGGCAAATAATCTGCATTTCCGTTAGAAAGGTTCATTCCAGAGTCAATCCTTAAAGAATTACGCGCCTCAATAAGTGAATCTTCGGATACTGCGTTCAAGCATTTTCCACTAGCAGTGGTAAACCCTGTAGGTTTCTCCAATGCATTTAATGAATCTTCATCAGGCAAATAATCTGCATTTCCGTTAGAAAGGTTCA